ACATAGAGGAACTGAAAAATTAATTGAATATAAAAATTATTTACAAGCTTTACCTTATTTTGATAGATTAGATTATGTTTCAATGATGAGTCAAGAACATGCTTATGTTTTAGCTATTGAAAAATTATTAAATTGTAATATACCTTTAAGAGCAAAATATATTAGAGTTTTATTTTCTGAAATAACTAGATTATTAAACCATTTATTATTTGTTTCTTGTCATGCTTTAGATGTAGGTGCTATGACTCCTTTTTTCTGGGGATTTGAAGAACGTGAAAAATTGATGGAATTTTATGAAAGAGTTTCAGGAGCTCGTATGCATTCAAGTTATTTTAGACCTGGTGGTGTAAATCAAGATTTACCTTTAGGTTTATTAAATGATATTTATTTATTTTGTTTACAATTTCCTACAAGATTAGATGAATTTGAAGAAATGTTAACTAATAATCGTATTTGGAAACAAAGATTAGTTGATATAGGTATAGTTAAAGCTAAAGATGCTACAGCCGGTTCTGTTATTTGGAAACAAAGATTAGTTGATATAGGTATACTTAAAGCTAAAGATGCTACAGCCGGTTCTGTTATTTTAGCTGGTATTTTATTAAAATTAGGTTCTTACGGTTTGATTAGATTTTCATTACCTTTATTTCCAAAAGCAAGTAGAAGCAGTTTCTTTAACTGATTATATTACTTGGTTTAATAAAAAATTAGAAGCTTAATTATTTATTATTTAAAATGATTCGTGGTTTCGAATCCCACTTTGGCCTATAGGAATAATAAAATAAAAATATATAAAATTAAACAATTCATTTATTATCTTTATAATATAAAAATATTATAAATATTTTTTAAATTAAAAAAGTAAAAAAATTAATCTAGTAGAATAAAAAGTGTAGGTCTTTGTTCTTATCTTTTAATTAATTTTTGGTTTACTTAAAATTCTTCGAATATGGAACGTCCTAATTTATTTGCCACTTTAACACAATTTAGTTGACGTGACTAACTGCAATGACTGTGGAATTTTGCAAAAATCAAGTCTTGACGTAGCTGGCTGTGATGCCCCGAGTCGATTTGCCTGTCTTCAATCTTAGTATGGAAATATGTATGTGCATACAAAAGTATAGTCATGACGTGGCTGGCTAAGATGTCCCGAGCCGATTTGCCAGTTTTCATTTTTTAATATGGAAATTTTTATCCACACACAAAAGTCAAGTCATGACGTAGCTAGCTGTGATGCCCCCAGTCAATTTACCTGTTTTCATTTTTTAGTATGGAAATTTGTATGTGCATACAAAAATCAAGTAATGACATGGCTGGCTGTGATGTCCTAAGTCGATTTGCCAGTTTTCATTTTTTATTATGGAAATTTGTATGTGAATACAAAAGTCAAGTCATGACGTGGCTGGCTGTGATGTCGTGAGACGATTTGGTACTTTTCATATTTTTAGTATCGAAATTTGTATCCACATACAAAA